GCCGTTAGCTGAGCTCGAGCATTTTGGCGACTGCAAAACCGCTAAGGCCCTATATGACGCTGTCGTTGCTCGCTACTCCTCACCTGCCACAGCCGAGCTTAGCCGCCTCATGCTGCCTTACCTGTTCCCTGAGCTGTCCACCTTTGCTACAGTCGCCGATCTTATCACCCACCTTCGCACTAGTGACGCTCGCCTGCGTGCCGCCCTTCCCACCGAGTTCTGCGCTAAGAACCCCCCTCCACTGTACTGGACACTCCACTTCATAGTCACCCGTCTCCCTGACACCCTCAGCTCAGTGCGCGACTATTTCCTTGCTCGCTGTCCCACTGAGCTCACTGTCGCCCTCCTAGAGGAGAAGCTGCTAGCAGCCGAGAAGAGCATTGTAGCTGTAGGTGCTGCTCGCGGCGCTCCTCGCACCCCCATCTTTGGGGTGTTCTTCTCCCTCGCCCCCCTCGCTCCCTCCTACGCTACTACTCTGCTGCTGCTGTTGACTTCCTTGGTGCTGAGTCTGCTGGCGCTGCTTCTGCTCCTGGTGGGAGGCGCCGCACTGGCAAGGGCAAGGGGGGCAAGGGTGGCGGGGGTGGCGCTGGGGGGGGAGGGGGTGGGGGAGGTGGGGGGGGAGGCGGTGCTGGAGGGAGCGGTGGCGGGAGTGCCGGTGGGAGTGGGGCCGGCGGCGGAGGCGGGGGCGGCGGCGGGAGCAGTGGCGGTGGTGGCAGCGGCGGCAGTGGCGGCGTTTGCGGTAGTGGGCGGTGGGCGGTGGGCGGTGGTGGCGGTCGGCGGAGGGTATTGGCGGCGGTGGAGGTCGGAGTGGAGGCACCGGCTCGGGCCAGAGCTCCCAGCAGCAGCAGCGTCCCCAGTCGACCCAGCAGCTTCGTGAGTGGCTTGCTCAGCGTGGGACGTCTGGGGGCAGTAGCCGCTGTTCCTATGTCATTCGCACAGGTGATCGCAAGGGACAGACGTGTGGGAGGTTTCACACCCCGTACCGCTGCTTCTTCCGCCTTGACGACGCTTGGCGTGAGGAGATGGGCGAGGATGTTGAGCGCCCTCGCTGGGCTGAGCTGATGAGGGCTGGGGTTGATATCTTTGCTCTTGACTATGATGCTATTATAGCTGCCATGTATGCATTGACTGTTAGTGCCGAGGGAGACTGTTACTTGTGTGTGCCGCCTGACCCAGGTATAGAGCCCGCTGCCCTAGGTACTAGTGAGTCTGCTCTCTCTGGTATGGTGCCCCCTGTACCTGCTCCCTCCTGCACTGTCCCTGCTGCTTGCGAGTCTGCTCTCTCAGGTACAGCACCCACAGAGACTGCTCTCTCAGGTACTGCACCGACTGAGCCCTGTCACACCTTCACCCTTGACTCAGGTGCCTCCCGCTGCTTCTTTCGAGACAGTACGAACTCAACTCACACCGCTTTCTGCAAACCGTCTCAGTCTCCTTGGCTGATCCCTCTGGGGGCCCGGTCCTTGCCCGGTCCACCACTGTGCTCCCTTGTCCGGCGGTTCCGTCTGGCTCGTTGACAGGTTTCCACCTCCCCTCGTTCTCGACGAACCTGGTGAGCAACGCTGTCCTCCAGGATCAGTGGGTTGACACCTTCACCCCTGGAGGACAGGTTTGTGGCGATCTGCACGTGCTCCAGGACCGGCCGTCACCTGGCTACGTTTACTCGTCGGCCGGGGTCGAGTCTCTACACACTGACCACTGCGTCTCCCCAGGTCGCTGCTGTCGGTCAGGTGTCCGCGTCAGGTCTGGTAGCCCACGCCTGTGAGTGTCGTTCCCTGTCGCACCAGACTCTTCTCTGGCACCACCGCCTGGGTCACCCCTCCTTGCCACGCCTCCGTGGCATGCACCGTCGCCACCTTGTGTCTGGTCTTCCCAGGTCCCTCCCTCCCCTCCCTGCCTCGCCTGCGCCGCCTTGCCTTCCTTGCGTCGAGGGGCGGCAGCGCGCCGCTCCTCACTCCTCCTCGTTCCCCCCGACAGAGGCTCCTCTGCAGACCCTCCACCTGGACGTGTGGGGCCCAGCCCGCGTTCGTGGTCAGGGCGGTGAGCGGTACTTTTTGCTGGTTGTCGACGACTACTCGCGTTACACCACGGTCTTCCCCTTGCGCACCAAGGGTGAGGTCCCTGCTGTTCTGATCCCTTGGATCCGCACAGTTCGTCTCCAGCTCCGCCGCCGTTTCCGGACGGATCTTCCTGTCCTGCGTCTGCACTCTGACAGAGGTGGTGAGTTTTTTCCCGACCTCTTGAGGACCTTCTGTCAGGCGGAGGGCATCGAGCAGACCTTCACGCTTCCGGACTCCCCACAGCAGAATGGGGTTGCTGAGCGCCGCATTGGCCTGGTCATGGAGGTCGCTCGTACCTCCTTGGTCCACGCGGCGGCTCCCCATTTTCTGTGGCCGTTTGCTGTCCGGTACGCCGCGCATCAGCTCAACCTCTGGCCGGCCCCTGTCTCCTTGCCAGAGACCTCGCCCACACTGCGTTGGACGGGGGAGGTTGGCGATGCGTCGCGCTTCCGGGTGTGGGGTGCTCGTGCCCTTGTCCGCGATACGTCCGCGGACAAGCTCTCCTCCCGCACGCTTCCCTGTGTCTTCCTTGGCTTTGTCCCTGACGCGCCTGGCTGGCAGTTTTACCACCCCACCTCGCGCCGGGTCTTCGCCTCTCAGGACGTCACCTTTACGAGTCGGTCCCTTTTTAAATTCTCCGCTTCCTCCCCTACCGTACTGCCCCCCCCCCCCTCCCCCGCCGCTTTTCCTTGCTCCTGGTCCCCCTCCGGTAGACCCCCTCCCCCCTCAGGGTCCTGCTCCTTCAGGTGTCTCTCAGGTAGACCCTCCTCCCGTCGCTGAGCCTGTCGAGGTCACAGGTGACTCAGGTGCTGCTGCAGGTGGTGCTGAGTCTGGGGGTGCTGAGCCTGAGGGTGCTGGGCCTGGGGGTGCTGGGACTGCGGGTGCTGGGGCTGAGGGTACTGTGCCTGAGAGTTCGGCGCCTGGGGGTGCTGAGCCTGGGGGTGCTGCGACTGGGGGTGCTGAGCCGGCGTGTGCGGAGTCTGGGGGTGCTGAGTCTGGGGGTGCTGCGCCTGCGGGTACTGAGCCTGGGGGTGCTGCTACTGAGCCTACGGAGCCTCGGGTTGCTGCGTCTGGGGGTGCTCCGGTTCGGGGTGCTGAGCAGTCTCTCACACCACAGCAGCTTCGTGACTGGTACGTCCGGCGCTTTCGCCGTCCTCGTGGCTCGGCTGGAGCTGGGGGTGCTGGAGCTGCCGGGACTGGTTGTTCTGGGAGCACTACGACTGGAGCTGCTGGAGCTGGGGACTCTGGAGCTGGCGGCGCTAGCGGAGTTGTAGCTGCGGACCCTGGGGGTGGTGCTGCTGCTGGTGCTGCGGACCCACCTGGTGGAGCTGCTGCTGGAGCTGAGGACCCGGGCGGTGGCGCTGCTGCTGGTGCTGGGGACCCGGACGCTGGAGTCTCTTCTGCTTCTGGAGCCGCTGCGCGGCCGCGGCCGTACTTCGTACCGCTCCTTCAGCAGGTTCTTGGGCAGGCTCCTCCTCCTTGTCCTCCTCCCTCCGTAGAGTGTCCTCCGACTGTCCAGCCGCAGTCACAGTTGCCGCCTGCCTCGCCTCTCCCTGCTGCCCTTCTCCTTACACTGGTCCCACAGGAGGTCTTACAGAGCGTCGTGAGCCTGAGTCTCGTCCTGCGTCGCCTGTCCGTACTGCTCGCACTGGTCGTCGTGTCCGTCGTGAGCGTCCTCCTCCTGTCCCAGGCACTCACTACATGACTCTGCGTCCCTCTACTGCTCCTCAGCGTGTCCCTCTGCCGTCTCCTCCTGCGTCCTCTTTGCCTGCTGTTCCGACCCTGAGTCTGACCGGTATCGTGCTGAGCACCCTACTGTCACGCGTCTCCTAGCTACTGTTGTCACTGACCCTACCTTTGAGTCCTCTGCTGTGTCTGCTCTGGTCGCTGAGTTGGTCGACTTTGCTGCTGCCTGTCGTCTAGACTACGCCGCTAGTCTTGTTGCTGAGTCTGGGTCTGTCTGTCCTCCGTCCGTCGGGGGTGAGTGTGCTCTTGGCACGGACGTCTTGAGGACAGGCAGGACTTTGACTCTTTGACTCTCTGTCGGTTGCTTGCTGAGCCTGCACCTCATTGGCCACTTGCTTGACCTTTGCTGGCCCAGCTTGCTAGCTCCGCATGCTAGACATCCCTCGCGAGATGCATGGTCAGACGCAGCAGGTCACTGCCTCAGAGGCATACTGGCAGACAGCCATGGACATGAGATGGCATCCTGGAATCCTGAAGTCCACAGGCACCTACGTCGACGAGGTTCCCCCTCCTGGGGCGAACATCGTCGATGGCATGTGGATTTTCAGGGTGAAGCGGCCGCCAGGTTCTCCGCCTGTCTTCAAGGCTCGTTACGTTGCTCGAGGCTTCAGTCAGCGTCAGGGGGTCGACTTCTTCCAGACCTTCTCCCCCACCCCGAAGGTGACCACTCTTCGGGTTCTGCTGCACGTTGCTGCTCAGCGTGACTACGAGCTTCACTCCCTTGACTTCAGCACAGCGTTCCTGCAGGGCAGCCTGCACGAGGAGATCTGGCTACGCGCCCCCACCTGGCTTTACTGGGTCGTTTCCTCCTGGTACCCAGTGGAGCCTCCGCCGGCCAGTCTACGGTCTCCGCCAGGCGCCACGCGAGTGGCACGACACACTGAGGACTACACTTGCGGCTCTTGGGTTCGCGCCGTCTACTGCTGACCCGTCGCTGTTTCTGCGCACAGACACGTCGCTGCCGCCGTTCTACATTCTCGTGTACGTCGACGACTTGCTTTTGCTACTGCTGACACTGAGGCACTCGCTCGTGTGAAGTCGGAGCTGCAGAAGAGACACACCTGCACTGACCTGGGTGAGCTGCGTAGCTATCTTGGCTTGCAGATCACCCGGGACAGAGCTCGCCGCACCATCACCCTGACTCAGTCACACATGGTGCAGCAGGTCACACATGGTGCAGCAGGTCCTTCAACGCTTCGGCTTCCAGTTCTCCTCACCACAGGCCACACACGTCTGGCTACCAGTCACTCGCTCTCAGCTCCACCTCCGGACGAGTCCGTAGAGCCGAGTGGCCCGTACCCAGAGCTTGTGGGCTGCCTCATGTACCTGATGACTTGCACGCGACCTGACCTCGCGTACCCTCTTAGCATCCTTGCTCGTTACGTTGCACCTGGGAGACACAGGCGAGAGCACTGGGAGGCTGCTAAGAGGGTGCTGCGCTACTTGTGCAGTACATCAGGCATGGGGCTGGTGCTTGGAGGACACGACAGAGTTGTCCTCACTGGTCACTCGGACGCTTCTTGGGTGGACGACCTGGCTACGCAGCGGTCGTCACAGGGTTACACCTTCAGCCTTGGCTCTGGTTCTGTCTCGTGGCGGTCCACCCGTTCTTCTTCTGTTCTCAGCTCTAGTTGTGAGGCTGAGATCTACGCCACGGCCATGGCTGCACAGGAGTTACGCTGGCTCACCTACCTGCTGACTGACTTGGGAGAGCGGCCTAGTTCTCCTCCAGTTCTGTACGGCGACAACAAGGCGGCCCTTGCCTTGTGTCAGGAGCACAGACTGGAGCACAGGACGAAGCACATTGCTCTTCGCTACTTTCTTGCTCGAGAGCTTCAGCAGCGCGGTCAGCTTCGGCTTGTGTACGTGGACTCGAAGGCCAACACTGCTGATATCTTCACCAAGGCGCTCCCGCCTAGTGATCATCAGCGGCACTGTACTTCTTTAGGCCTTGTGTCCACGTTTCCTCACTTGCTCACTGCTTGACATTCTTTGTACTGTACTTTATATATATCTTGTTGCTTGCTTGCTAGGTTTTGATCACTGTGTTGCTTGTCTTGTACTATATCTAGCACTGCATGTGAACTGGCCTTGTGGCCTTTGCTTGTGCTCGGAGTGTGGTGACGTTGTGATCCACCCTGGGCTTGTGTTGTTTTGCTGGACTGGTCTTGTGACCCTTTGTTCTCCCCCACTTTGCCTATGGGGGTGTGTTAAATTATAATGGGTTCTATGTTGGTAGGCTGTAGTAGGGTAGCCAATATGGGGTACAACCCCAACTAGGGTTTCATATTTGTACCCAAACTTCTGCTAGTTCATTCATTCTTGCCTAGCTATTCTGATACAGGGTCCTTCAGCCTGTTGCGGTGCTGATCGGAGTTGAGGTGAAACATCGCGCTGTCGAGAGCGATGCCGCACACGAAGTCGCAGATCGAACACGCCCACACCTCCACGTCGAGGTCAAGGCTAATGAGGAGCAGGCCGGGGTCTTTCTTGAAAGCTGCCGTGGAAGCGTGCTGTCCAAGGAGCTTGCCTGGGGAGAGGGGGGGTGAAGGAGCAGGAGAGTGGAAAGGGGGAAGCAGGGAAGGGGGGGTAACCAGACCAGAGCCGAAGGTAGCAGGGAGCAGACAAGTGCAGCGAGGGAAGGAACTATGGTTTGGTAGGGCCTTAGAACAAGAAAGGAAGGGCAACGCCAGCAAGGGCACGTGCGGGGTTTGTTAGTACCGTTAACCGCCTGCAGCGCAGACATGGTGATGGATTGCCTGTTGGCGACCCGGTTGCGTCGGGTGATGGCGAAGCATGCGTGATCCTCAAGCCTGTGGTTGCTTGAGCACAGGGTGCACGCGTGGCATGATATGTTGAGGAAGGCGGGCTCCTCCTGGTCCGGGATCCAGAGGATAGCCGAGATGCGGTTAAAGGAAGGATCTCCTTCGGCCGCAACCGGGAGTCCAAGCATCTGCGAGTAAGCCGAGCCGTCATAAGGGTCCTTGAGCCGGTGAAAATGCAGGAGATCCGCAAGCCACGGCAAATCATCATCGGTTTTGCCGCTGAGCAGAGAGGCGCGCAGTTCTTCGGGCTGGACACCAAGCGGCACGTTCCGCACCACCATGTACGTGTCGCCACGAGCCTTTGCAGCCGAGAATTCAGGGTATGGGTCCACGTAAATCTTAACCTCGATTGGGCGGCTGTTGTTCAACCGCACAAGGAAAGGAACCGCAAACAGCCCGCGGAAGATGCGTGCGTCAGCAGCGGAGGTCCAGGAGTAGATGTGCCGAAAATACGTCCTGCGCGGCAAGAGCAGCGGCTCACCCGTAGCCCGCGTCAAACTGCGGGACAGCACGGTTGAAGGCAGCAGAGCCGGGAGCGCAGCGGCGATCCGGGAGAGGATACTCTCCCGAACCTCCTCAGAGCACTCCGGAAACATCACCGCAACCAGTAGCAGCGGGTCGCGCGTCAGGGACCGGAGCTCGGTACCCACGGAGGGGCGGTGACGGCGGAGGTTGCGGTATCGCACCGACAGGGAGAGGTTGGCGGCAGTTCCGGCTGAAGGCTGTTCAACCGCGGCTTCCTGGACAGGAGGCTGCGGCCGAGAGGGCGGAGCAGACCTCGGCCTTGGTGGGCCGACGGACGAGACGACGAGGGGGCCGTGGCCGCGGAGCTACCGGAAGAGTTAGAGCGCTGCATCGGCTGCGGCACCAGCGGCGCAGCAGCAGGAGCGCTAGCCCAGCAGCACCAGAGGAGGTCCCTTCGCCACACTGCTTCTTAGCAGCAGGCTCTTCGTTAAGTTCCGGCGGAACGCCGTCGGGGAGATCTTCGAGGACGTAATCGCCGAGGTCGGTGATCGTTTCCTCCCCAGCAGCAAGCTGCTCGTCAGTCATGACAGTGTCTGGGTTGTGATGAGAGTCCATGGTGGCGAGGGATGGTAATGGAATCAGAGGCGGGAGGCGTAAATAACACCGCCATTCCAACAACGGGGCCGGGCCAGAAGCAGGAGCATTATTGAGGCGACACGGCACACAGCCGAGACGTGAAAGGAGGTGAGCGAGGGTAAGGAAGGTGGGCTGGGCGCTTCGGCAATGGCCTAAGCAGCCCGTCAATAGTGACTGTTTGCCAGATCGGCAGTACAAGTCAAGAACGCATACACATCGGGAGTTTGAGAGACCCGCGTAAGGTCCAGCAAGGTGGTCTCGTAGCTTACACCAGCGGGAGGAATATCGACGAGGGCACCAGCTCAGGAGCGACGCAGAAGGCTTGCATGGAAGCAAGCAGCACAAGGCAGCCCTACAGCACCGGCAAGGCTGCGCAGAGGAAGGAAGGCTCCGAAAGATGGGGAAGGCCTTGGAAGCAGGAAGGTCGAAGAGAAAAAACCAGTAGGGAATACTGCCTGAAATTACGGAACCACACGTTGTGTCAGACCCAATCACGTCCAGCAGAGCACTTACCTGGTCCGTAGACCTAGGAGCAAGATCCACGTAGCAAAAACTTCCTGAAAACCAGCAGCCAAACACCTCGTTAGACAGCGATTGGTTATACTCACCTTCCTGAAGAACGTCGCGGGTAGCCTACCGAAAAGAGGAGGCGGATACAGTAAGGCGATCTTCAGTTGGATAAGGAGAGAATGAGCGAGTACAAACGAGGGCGAAGAGCAGTAGGGAAGCGGAGAGCTCATGACGGAGAAGTTTTTGATGCGTAAAGTGACTGATCGTGGGTAACCAAGGAGGTGCGGAACCCTGGAACCCTCAACGTGGTTCGGCAAAAAAGGTGCGGGTGGCACAGTGTCACCAGTTTGCTTATGAACTTGTAATTCGAGATTCGGGTTTTAAGAAACACCTCGACATTGTTGATACAGTGAATGTTATGTTTCTCAGCTGATTACAAAATCCACTATGTACAGTTTAATGTGAACCTCGATACTGTGTATGGATTGTGTTCCTCGCTTAGGGTTGTTCAACCTTCTGCGCATTCCGCACAATGTAACGAAATGCATTTCGAGTTTGTTAAAGCTGCGGTCTACATTCTAAAAGGGATTTTCTGGGGGTAATCTAAGTGCACACCTTTTGGCGCAAACTGATTTGAGAGCGAGTAAGGACGCGTCCCCTGAACGCCGATCCTGCGATCGATCGTCGAAAATCGATCCTCCACCGCACTAAAACTTTGCACAACGCTTAAAAAACCTCTAGAAGCTTTTTAAACCACGCAAAAAATCGATCCTTCGTAGGATCGATCTCTAGATCGGCGCTGAGGGGACGCGTCCTAAGGTTCATCCTCAAACACGTGTGAGGAATTCGAACACCCAGAGCGATGGCAAACAATTTCGTGAGCTAGTTTGCTTGGGAGAAGTAATCCGCGGAAATGCGGAAATGCGGAATCCTGCTAGCTGCAGGCAGCGCAGCAGAATTCTGCACGCCACCGCGCCCACTGCCGCGAAATTCGCCTGGAGCGCGTAGTGTAGAGTTTTTTTTCACGCAGCCACGCTGATAGCCGCGATTCCAGGTAGCAGCATGTAGCGTAACGTCTGTTTCACGCCACCCCCCCCGCTCACAGCCGCAATTCTGGCCAGTTGCGCGTAGCGTAGCGTCTTCTTCATGCCACCACGCTAAGCCGCGATTCCCACTTGCGGCGTCTGTTTCGCGCCACCACGCTAAGAGCCGCGATTCCCGCAAGTAGCATCACTCGTACCGTCTGTTTCACGCCAACCCGCTCAAACTCGCAATTCTCGCCATGTGCGCGTGGCGTAGCGCCTTTTCCACGCCACCACACTCGCATCCGCGATCCCTGCTAGGAGAGGACAGAGTAGCAGCCATTCCAGGTCGCACCTCCATTTTCCCCCATGTCGCATATCCCCTTACCCGTAGGTCGCACCTCCCTTTCCCACCAGGTCGCACCTCCGTTTCCCCCCAGATCGCGTATCCCCTTACCCGCAGGTCGCACCTCCATTTCCCCCCAAGTCGCACCTCCCTTTCCCCCCAGGTCGCACCTCCCTTTTCCCCCAGGTCGCACCTCCCTTTTCCCCCAGGTCGCATCTCCTCCCGTCCCTCACCCCATCTTCCCATCCCCCCCAACCCTCATTCAGCTCATTCTATCTCCTCCCTTCCCTCTCCCCCTTCTTTCCCTCATGTCTCTCCCTCCTTCCCCCCATTTCCCCCCTCCATGCCGTCATTCCCATCCCTCCTTCCCCTCATTTCACCTTTTCTTCCCCATTTCCCCCATCTACTTTCTTCAGAAAGTGAGGTGGCAGTAGCGTGGGTGCGAGGGGCAGAGGCGCGGCGAGTGCGGGTTTAGGGAGGGAAGTGCATCTCGCACTAACTGCGCTCACACAAACCTGCGCATTCCTCCTCATCCCCTCAATCCCCTTCTCCTCTGCCCATTCCTAGCACACCTGAATTGCACACCTCCCTCATGCTCCCTCATCTCCCTCCCCCCTGTCCTCCTCCCTCCCCCCTGTCCTCCTCCCTCCCCCCTGTCCTCCTCCTCCCTCCCCCCTGTCCTCCTCCCTCCCCCCTGTCCTCCTCCCTCCCCCCGTCCTCCTCCCTCCCCCGTCTCCTCCTCCCCCCTGTCCTCCTCCCTCCCCCCTGTCCTCCTCCCTCCCCCTGTCCTCCTCCCTCCCCCCTGTCCTCCTCCCTCCCCCTGTCCTCCTCCCTCCCCCCTGTCCTCCTCCCTCCCCGCTGTCCTCCTCCCTCCCCGCTGTCCTCCTCCCTCCCCCCTGTCCCCTCCCTCCCCCTGTCCTCCTCCCTCCCCCCTGTCCTCCTCCCTCCCCCCTGTCCTCCTCCCTCCCTCCCTCCCCCCTGCCTCCTCCCTCCCCCCTGTCCTCCTCCCTCCCCCCTGTCCTCCTCCTCCCTCCCCCCCTGTCCTCCTCCCTCCCCCCTGTCCTCCTCCCCTCCCCCCTGTCCTCCTCCCTCCCCCCTGTCCTCCTCCCTCCCCCTGTCCTCCTCCCTCCCCCCTGTCCTCCTCCCTCCCCCCTGTCCTCCTCCCTCCCCCCTGTCCTCCTCCCTCCCCCTGTCCTCCTCCCTCCCCCCTGTCCTCCTCCCTCCCCCCTGTCCTCCTCCCTCCCCCCTGTCCTTCTCTCTCCCCGCTGTCCTCCTCCCTCCCCCCTGTCCTCCTCCCTCCCCCCTGTCCTCCTCCCCCCCTTGTCCTCCTCCCTCCCCGCCGCTGGCAGGACTTGGGTCGGTTGTTGCACCTTGACCTTGAGAACCATGTTTGCCCCCTCTCTCATCCCTTCCAGGGTGCCGCTCTCCTCTTTCCCCCAGGTCATACCTCCCTTTCCTTCCATGTCGCACCTCCCTTCCCCCCAAATCGCACCTCCCTTCCCCCCAGGGTGTGGGGGCGTCCTCACTTAGACCGACCTACCACGGTAAGGTTTCCCCCAGGCGCCGCCGCTAACTTCTTCTCCGCCTTCCTCCCCAACCTCCTCCACCTCCTCCTTTCCCCCCATCCCATCAGCTACCAGTTACTGAGCGAGATGGGAGCACTGGAAGTCGGCGAGGACCGTGACTCTGGACTCCAAAGCTTCGCACTGTTTCTTCCGCGACCACACGACTCTTATTCCGCTTCCTGCGCTAGTCTCAATAGCACTGGCTGATCCCACTTTGGGACCAGTCACTGCTCGCTACACTACTACTCTTCCGTGCCCGGCTGTTCCCTCGGGTTCTCTGACGGGCTTCCATGTCCCCTCGCTCTCTAGGAACTTGGTTGGTATGAGGACGCTCGTGGGTAGTCACGTGGGTGTTTGGTTTGAGCCTTCTGGGGACTCTGCGACCTATGTAGATGGTGACACGTACGCACCCCTGGCCACCTTTAAAACCGAACCGGGCTCTGGTCTCTACACACTTCACACTGGCCCCCGAGAGAGGAAGCAGCAGCAGCAGCTGCTACCTCCGACCGATGTCACTGCCCCCCATCAGGTCCCAGCGTCTCACCAGATTGTCGCGTCCCACCAGGTAGCTGTGTCTGGTCAGGTTCCAGCGTCTGGTCCGGTTGCTGCGTCTTTCTCGTGCCAGTCGCTTGCCCACCCCACCGTTCTGTGGCACCACCGCATGTGTCACCCGTCCATTTCTCGTCTTCGCACTATGTCTAGTCAGCGTCTTGTCTTAGGCCTCCCGCGAGTCTTACCGTCGCTGCCGCCTTTGCTTGCACCACATTATGCCCCTTGCGTCGAGGGTCGGCCGCACACTAACCCTCACTTCTCCTCCCTTTGTCCGGCCACCAAGCCCTTCAAGACTCTCCACTTGGACGTCTGAGGCCCCGCCTCTCACCCTGTCCCTGATCAAGAGAGTTTCTTTCTGGTGGTTGTTGACGACTTCTCTCTCTCGCTACACCACAGTGTTCCCCTTGGCGAAGATGTCCGAGGTGACTTCTACGCTAATCCGGTGGATACTTACCACTGCGGACACATGTGGTCGTCGTGTCAGCTGTCTTCACTCCGACCGCGGGGATGAGTTTCGCTCCAGCGTTCTCGCTGGATTCTGTCGTGAGTAGGGCATCCGTCAAACCTGGACGCTTCCAGAGACCCCACAACAAAATGAGGTTGCTGTTCGCCGCATAGGCTTGGTCATGGACCTCTGGCCACCTGTTTCTCGGCCAGAGGTTTCACCGACCAGTCTTTGGACCGGGTCCCCTGGTGTTGCGTCGCGTTTTCGTGTCTGGGGCTGCTTGGCACTTGTTCGTGACACCTCCGTGGACAAGCTCTCCCCTCACACCCTTCCCTATGTCTTCCTTGGTTTTCCAGAGGACTCCTCTGACTTCACCTTTTACCACCCTCCCCTTCACCGGTTTTTTTACTCCCGCAACGTCCGTTTCGACGAGTCTAACCCCTACTACACCCGGTACCCCCGTCGAGATCTCCCAGTTCCTCCTCCCCCTCTCTTCCTGACTCCTGCTCCCCCTCTTGCTCCTTCGGTACAGCCCCCCCCCCCCCCCCCTGGTTCAGCCTTGGAAGGTGAATCACACACTCCCCCCCCCCCCCCCCCCCCTTTCGGTAGCCCCTCAGGTGCCGTCCCCTTGCCTGCAATCCTCCTCACAGCCAACTGCAGACCCTACGGGAGCTGATGATCGTGTCGAGGACTCTGGAGGTGCTAGCTCTGGAGATGTTGGCGTTGGAGCTGAGAGCGTACCTGTACGAGGTCCTGGCTCTAAGGGTGCTAGAGGTGGAGCTGAGCTCGTGGCTGCAGGAGACTCTAGTCTTCCGGGAGCTGGTGATAGTCGAGCTGTCCCTTGGGGTGCTACGACTGGGGGTGCAGGTGCGCCCTCTGCTAGACCCGGAGAGCCTAGGACTGACCGTGTTGCTTCTAGTGGTGCTGGCTTTGGTGGTGGTGCGACTGGTGCTTTAGAGGGCGGTCCTGGGGCTACCACTGCCCCGGACACTGCTCCACGCCCGCACACCCTACACGACCCGACACCAGGTCCGTCTTTGCTGTGCACGTGAGGAGCCGCTGGAGTTGGAGAGAGAGGGACTAGAGTTGGAGCGGCAGCAGCTGGAGCTACGACAATAGGAGGAGCACCCGCCGCAGCAGCAGCAGCAGCAGCCGCCGCCGCAGCAGCTGCAGGAGAAGCAGCAGCAGCAGCCGCCGCATATGGAGCAGCAGCAGCCGCCTCCTCCTCCTGTCTCTGGTCTTCGGACCCTCGGTCTCCCCTCTCCCTCTCCTCCCTCCTCCCCCTCTCCTCCTGTCTACGGTCCCACGTTACCTCCTCTTGACCCCACCTCAGCTGTTTTCCCCATTCTCAGCCTCTATGTCCCCTCCTCTTTCTCACAGTTGGACTCCTCGCTCTCCTCGTGCTCGTCCCTCGTCCCCTGTTCCCATCACTGACCTTCGTACTGTCGTGTTACGTCCTAGCTCCCCTCGTCCGTCTCCGTCTGTGCTTCCTTCTACTCCTGAGTCAGCCCTTACTGTCGCTGTCACTGAGCTCGCCACTGCTCGCCGCCTTGAATACACCGCTTATCTTGTCGCTGCTCCTCCTACCAGTCCTCTGGCCGTCGGGGGTGAGTCTGCCCTTGGCTATGACGCCCTAGAGGACAGGCAGTTTGAGCTAGAGTACCTGGCAGCCAATTCCCTTCATCTCTGTGCCATGGTGCTCACCCCTGAGGGAGACCCCGACGCCCTTGACATACCGACTCCTCGCACTTACGCTGAGGCAATGTCAGGGCCTTGGGCCTCTCAGTGGAGAGCTACCATGGACGCAGAGATGGCCTCCTACAAATCCACAGGCACCTATGTTGACGAGGTTCCCCCCTCGGGGGCGAATGTAGTCGAAGACAAATGGATCTTCAAGGTGAAGCGGCCACCGGGATCTCCTCCGGTCTTCAAGGCGTGCTACGTGGCTAGAGGCTTCAGTCAGCGCGAGGGAGTTGACTTCTTTTAGACCTTCGCGCCTACCCCGAAGATGACTACTCTTCGGGTGTTACTTCACGTAGTAGCACAGAGAGACTACGAGTTACACTCACTCGACTTCTCCACTTCCTTCATGGTAGCCTACACGAGGAGGTCTAGTTGCGTTGTCCCTCTGCCTTCACTGGCACTTTCCCTCTTGGGACTCAATAGAGGCTCAGGCAACCGGTCTACGGTCTCCGTCAGGCGCCTCGTGAGTGGCACGACACCCTTCGCTCTACCCTGTCTGACCTCGGTTTCTATTCGTGTTCTGTCGACCCGTCGATGTTCAATCGTCGTGGCTCCACACCGTTCTTTGTAATAGTCTATGTCGACGACCTGGTCTTTGCCACTGCTGACAGGGATGCTTTGGTTGACGTGAAGTCCGAACTACAGAAGAGACACACGTGCACTGACCTTGGAGAGCTGCGCCACTACTTTGGCCTACAGGTGAACAGGGACAGAGCTGCTCGCACCATCACACTCTCTCAGTCACACGTGGTGCAGCAGGTCCTTCAGCGGTTCGAGCTTCAGCACTCCACCGTACAGCGCACACCTCTTGCCGTTGACCACAGACTCACTGGTCCCTTTCCTGACGAGCCGTTTGAGCCTAGTGGTCCTTACGCAGAGCTTGTGGGTTGCCTCATGTACCTGATGACTTGTACTCGCCCGGACCTTGCCTTCCCTCTCAGCATCCTTGCTCGCTTTGTTACGCCGGGGAGACACCGTCCGGTTCCCTGGACAGCTACTGTGAGGGTGGCGAAGTACCTAGCGACGACATCAAGCGTGGGTCTGGTTCTTGGAGGGAGACATTCTGTTTTACTTTCTGGTCACTGTGACTCTTCTTACGCTAACAACGCCGAGACTCACAGGTCTACTCAGGGGTACTGCTTCAGCCTGGGCTCTGGAGCTGTTTCGTGGAGGTCCACGTGTTCCTCCTCGGTCTTGACCTCTACCGCTGAGGCTGAGATCTACGCTGGAGCCATGGCTGCACAGGAGCTGCGTTGGTTGACCTTCTTGCTCACCGACCTTTGTGAGTGGCCAAACTCTGCACCGACCTTGTTCATTGACAAGAAGGCGACGATTCTCCTCTGTCGAGAGCCTCGACTGGAGAGCAGAGTGAAGCACATTATCGTCAGGTACTTTATTCTGCGAGAGTTGCAGAGGTGTGGACAGGCTCTCTTGGACTTCGTGGAGTCTGAGGCCAACACTGCAGACATCTTCACCAAGGCCCTTCCGCCTTGTGACCACCACTGGCGTTGTGTGCAGTTAGGTCCCGTTGACACAGGTTCTCGTCTTATGTAGACTTGTGTTCTCTGCTTGCTTTGTTTGTACACTTTGCATATACCTCTGTGAACTCTTGGACTGGCCTTGTGGCTCTTTTGGTGTCAGAAATAACTGAGCAGGAATGAATGAACTAGAACAGAGTTTGGTACAAGTAGGAAACCCTAACTTTGTGTACCCCCTAAGGTGTAACCCACTACAGCCTAGACAATATAAACATGCAATGTTTGACACACCCCCATAGGCGCAGTGGGAGACAACCACAGGGTCACAAGACCAGTCAAAGCAAAGCAAAGCAAGCTCAGGGTGGATCTCAAGGATTCCACACAAATTCCGAGCACAAGCAAGCGGTCACAAGACCAGTTCACATGCAGGTTTATAACAAAGCAAGAGATACAGTGATCACAACCTAGCAAAAGTAAACAAGTAGGCATATATATATAGTGATCACAGTACAAGCAAGGTCAAGAGGTAAGCAAGTGAGGCCCAGTAGGTACAAGGCCTAGCAGAGTGCAAAAGCGCTGATGGTCACAAGGC